TTCCAAAATCAAAAATTTTAAAGAGTACAATTTCGATGATAACTCCCTTAATATTATCCTTAAAACAATTAGTGTTATTTCCTTGGTAAGAACATTCCGGTCTTGGCTCTTCCAAAAAGGATATAATAAAATAGTAGCACATGTAGTTCGTTACGCTCATAGGATAATTGCCTGTCATTTTTTGACCGGTTTGAAGTTTTGGGTTCTGAAAAGGAAAATAGTGACAGCTTGGTTGGACAAAAGAATAATCCAAATATAAAATCAACTGAGTGTGTCGAAGTTCAAGCGTTTCTCGGAGTGAATTGTTCGGAAGAAACTGTTGTTTTTGTTGGGTTTTTTTTTCTCATTTTGTCAAAATGGCAAAAAATAACTTACGTATATGAGAGACTTCACTGCCCAAACCTGGCAGTTCTTCGACGCAGGCTCCTACACACATACACCCACAGACTTACAAAGCCTGCTCTACTCTGGCGTTGACCAGATGACAAGGACATGTGGTTACTTAAGGGAGGCATGGCGCTGCCAAGAGCGAAATGCTTGCAGCTTAAGGGATTTGAAAGCAACAACAACAACAACATCTTATGAGAGTGACGATGTAGAGATCTAACCTCTTTGGGTTATAATGGAGACTATAAGCAGACAGACTCTGGGATGGATCCTGAAAGGGGGGGGGGGGAGCAGAGATGGACATGTTTCGACTGCAGTAACCCCAACACAGTGGACAAATAATTATAGGATAAGTAGGACCTCTTTGGGCTGTCCTGTGACATTGTAAAAACTGCACATACTGTATTTTTAAAGAATAATATGACAGCAGCGATGAGACTAGGAGATAGCAGGACACTCCTTCAAGCCCTCCAACATGGGGCCATGTTGTGTGCAATGCTGTCTGTTATCTTCTTTATCGTCATGTCCCTTGTGAATAGTTTTATCGTGATACGCGCCGTTCATTGTGTGGTGGTGGATATAGGAGGTCTACCCGACAGTAGAGAGCTGTCTGTCTGTGGTCGTTTTATATCTGAGGTTTGTGGATGGTTGGCGGGTGCTCTGGTGTGGTTTGCTTCCTCTTTCCTATCAAACATATATTTTCTTTATCTCCCCTCCTTCTTTTTTTATGTTTGTTACTCTTTTGTAACACCTCTAATCTTCGGCACTTATATGACCTTATTGTGTTGCAAGTGCCATAAAACTCTTATTAAAACAAAGAGCTGTCTGTGGTCATTTTCTGACTGGGGTTGTGGGTGGTTGACGGGTGCTCTAGTCTAGTGTGGTTGGTTCGGTTCTTCTTCCCTGTCAAACATCTATCGTGTTTATTATCTCTCTTCCCTCTTCTTTTATGTTTGTTACTCTTTTGCAACAACTCTATTCTCTGGCAGTTGTATAACTTTATTAGTTTGAAAATGGCTGTAAAACTAGAAGAACGAAAAAACGAAGGAAAAAAAACAACCCTGACAGTAAACAAAACCGTTAGCAAAACGACTTGAAGTATTTTTTAAAAAGAAAAACCCTGAAGAAATATTGTTTTCCACGCAACCCGTTAGGATGTACGTGCTTATGTGTCATACATTAAGAACTGAGTAGATAAAGAACTGCCAAGATAAAAGGATGAGTTTTTTAATGATTGTTTGGTGTTTGTTGTTTATTTGTTTGTTTTTTGTTTTTTTGTTTCTTTTTGTTTCTTTTTGTGGTTTTGGTTTTGGTTTTGGTTTTTGTTCTGTATTGCGCCATAAAAGAGGAACAAACATAAATAAAAAAAACAAAAAAAAAACCCCAAAGCAAAAACCACGAAACAAACAAAACAAAACCCATAAGGACAAAGTAATTTCCTTCCGTATACATCGCAGGATAGAAAGAGAAAAGACTTGGATGAGATCCTTCGAGATCAGTCGGCCTCTCCTCAGGAGTGTTGAGTGCCGTAGTATAAGGTTTTACGGCGCTCGCAACTGTGTTGAGTGCATCGACCGTACTCACCTCATGCACTTTAAAGTTACAGAAAAAAAAGTGAACTTGTTTCCTTCCTACTACCTCACAAAGCCTGCTTTACCTCTGTCTGTCGGTGGATGATCTAAAGATGTACATGTGTATCTACAGAAGCAGCCAGCTGTCGTAGCCACAGTTCACGTTTTTTTTCTCCTTCGTCGTTTAGAGAGTTTCTTTCCTCGTTCTTTGAGGAGTTTCCTTATTCTTTGGAGAGTTTCCGTGGCTGGTTGGCGGGTGCTCTGGTGTGGTTTGCTTCTTCTTACCAATGAAACATCTATTGTCCTTATCTCCCCTTCTTCTTTTTTATGTTTGTTACTCTCTTGTAACACCTCTAATCTTCTGGCGCTCATTTTACCTCATGCAGTTGCGAGCGCCGTAAAACTCTACTAAAACAACAAAAAGCAGTGCGTAGTTGCCTCTTGAAGTTGGATGTAGATTATGATTTTGATAAGTGTGTGCATGTGCGTGTGTTTGTTTGTATGTGTGTGTGTGTGTGTGTGTGTGTGTTTGTGTATTTTTTTGCATGTGTGTGATATCATGCTGGATTGCGAAATGGATGGCTTTGGGGGCCCTATCGGAGATGCACGTTGAATTCGACGTTCTCGCCTCTTAAGTAAACCATACAGTGTTGAAAGGAACGTTAAACCTATTCAACATGTCTTTCTTTTTTTTCGCCCACTCTCTCACTCCACCCATCGTGGCAGTATTGGGCAATGTCAGTGTACCCAAATTTGGAAAGAAAAAAAAATGAAAGAAAAAGCATTATGTTTAACAGAACGAATGAGATCCGGT